AGAAAGCTATTGCTGGAGATAACCACAGCCTAGGGAAACCAAGAGACCTGTGCTTACAAAAATGTGCAAAACACCCACAGATCCTCAGTGGCATTCAGTCTGTAGTCCTAGCAAGGTAATGAGATTTATAGAAGCTAAATCCTAAGATTTTTTTATTACACTGTGAAAGTATGTTCAATTTTAATATTTGTCAACATGTGTGAATTCAGCTTATCGTTTGTTTATAGCACGGTTGATAAAAATGTCAATATAAATTTGTGTGGAATATACATAATTGACAAGTCAGAAGCAATTTTGATTTCCCAAAAGTTTACTTTGAGACCTACTTCACTCCTACCCAGAACATTAAAAGAATTAAATCTTCATAGTCATACAAATTAAAAGTTGATGAAATTTCAAGCTCCAGACCTTCAAAATCCTGGTAGCATTTTACCTCTTACATACAGCACATGATAATTGTCTATGTTCGTTATGAGTTCTTTCTGCACCTGAATTATCTGAATTATTATTATTTTCTCTGAATTACCGGGGTCTGGACCCAGCTGCGAGCAGATGTGATATACCTAAGGTAAACTGTGAGCTGACAATTCTTACTTTTTCAGTATCAGGTAAATTCTTGCACTGGCAAAGGATTGCTTCATCTAGTAAGCCCTTTCATCATAAAGTATTTATCTCACTGGTGAGAGTTTAAAATGGCAATCAAAATATAGTGAGCACTAGGAAATATTAGACTTTTCAATTTATAAAAAGACTGTTACTAATGCTTGCCTGTTCTTTAAAGAAAGATGTTTATTTTATATGAAAATATACATCCCTGGTGATTTCAGACTTCAGAAAAATGATATGCAATGAGAGGCTGCTCTTTGCCCTTAAATTTGAAAGAAATTATCCTAATTTCATAACTTACACTGTGGCTTTTACTATCTGCTGTATAGTAGTATTTACGTACCATATACCATTAACTCAGTTTTATGATACCTCTGTCAAGCAGATGTTTTAAAAAACGAAGGAGAAGAGATATACAATGTTTTGGGAAAAAACCCTCTAATCCATAATCCTGATGCAATTTCCTCAGGTCTTTCTGGGAAGAATCCTGCAGCGGAACCCCAAACTTCATGTTAAATTAGGGCAGAAAATACTCTTTGCTCACAAAACATGCTTAACATCCCACAAAACTTCAATAAAAGTGCTATGACATGGATTACCAGTATCTTAAACACTGAAAAGAAATGCATGTGAAAATACCCACTCTGTAAACAAGTTCAAGCACAAAAGCCAAGAGCAAATACTTGGGCTAATCTGTAACATTTGATCACTCTCAGATATTAAACTGCAAAATATATAATGCAGCAAGAAAGTAAAACTTATTGGCAAATCAGCCCAGAATACTAGTGGGAATAACACAGCCCCAAGGGAGAGGCACATCTCATAAGGAAAATAACATGGCAAAGTCCATAAAACAAATGCAAACACAAAAACAGTGCAAACCCAATGCATTTATTTCCTATTAATAACAAGGTCAGATATAAATCTGTGACTGAAATCTGCAGGTAACCTAACATTACATGGCAGTGTCGTTCACCATAAGGAGCAGCGTTGGTGCAGCGAGGCAGGAAGGGCACGAGAAGGGCGACTCTCCAGCTCACTCTGCTGTCCCTCCCGGCGGATTCGTGTCCGGTTGACATTTCACGCCAAAAGAGCTTTACAGCAATGCCCAGAGAGGGAGAACAAGATTAAAAAGGACAAAAAGAAGGGGGCAGGGAGCTATAGATGTTTTAAGAGAAAGTCAGCAAGGTATAGAGATACAGGAAGATAAAACCATTGTGCAAAAGAAAAGATGGGCTGTTCAGAAGGAAAGAATGGACTGGCACTGATGAGTGCTGAATATCGCAAACAGATGAAGGCAAACGCAGGCTAAAGTGCAACTGCTTTAGGAATTTTATTTTTAGTCATACTGTTAAAGAAAAAGGGCTTTCAAAGCAGAGTACTTCGTGGCTAGCATGTTCATCTGCCTTTAACCACGATGTATAAAGATGACATCACCAGCATAAAGGAAACTTTAAATGTCTCTGTAAAATCTTTACTGAAGAAGAGTTCAAACTGCAAGTTACAGATCCTGAACCAAACTTCCCAAAGTTTGGAGCACCAGTATTACCAAATGTTTACCATTAGAAGTGTTTTTAAGAGCATTTAAAGGAAAGGGTTCATTTTTTTTCTATTATCAGTAATGCCAAGGATAGTAAGAATTGATTCATGCAAGTTGTAATGGATTCTCAAACCCAGAATCATCTCTCTTCCATGAGAAAACATTCATGAAATTTGACATAATTCATGTAAACTTGGTCTACTGACATTTATGAACCAGTCACATCAAACTCCCTATTTCTAGCCATATTAGCTCTTACACACATATTCTTTCCATCATGAAAGAACTGACTGATTAAAATTCAGAGATGACAAGCAAAAGCAGAAGGAGCAGACACTTCACCAAACCGCCTGGCCTTCTGCTGGGCAGAGATCTAAATCCAGTTCAGAGACATTGAGAAGAATCAGAGCGACTTTAAATTCTTGAAAGGTACATTTTCTACAGGGTATTTCTTTGCTTCTTTTAAAACATGAAATATTAATGACAATTCATTACACATCAATGCATCTGTATACTCCCCTGTTATCAAGTGTCCAAATGAAAACAGTCTGTTCTGAATAATGTACTCCTGAATCATCAGCCAGCTTTCTTCTACAAATCCAGCAGATCTTCAGTATTCGCCAAATCACTTCTATGACTGACAACCTTTTAGAAAATGTTCTCTCTGTTCAGTTTCAGAACGGTACCAGCGTATGTGTATTTGATGTGCTACAAAACTTGATATTTAGAACAGATATAAATGTGCTAACAATAAAGTAAAAATACATGTAAAGGCTATAAAATGTGATGGTTTTAAGTTTGTGGGCTGAATCCAGCATGCAAGAACAACTCATTCAACCTCCAATAGCAAAGCCTCTGCGATCATCTTTCCAGGAGGTCCTCAAACATATGTGGTTAGAGGCTGAGGGCTGGAGTTCTGGCAAACCACTTGCTGCTGTTTTGGTCCCGGGGTTCCCCCAACTCCCCTGCCTCAGCACATGACATGATCATGCTGTGGACTGCCTCAGCCAAAAGCTTTGCAGCAGAAAACCTATTTAAACCAAAGCTAAAGACTATGTGAAACCACAGCGCCTTAAAATAAATGCCAATTTTGACTCAAGTGGTGACAGTCTTAATTACTCCGTTATTATTTCTGTAAGCACCAGTCTAATACCCTTATTTGCACCGATAGCCAGACTTGCTGACAGCTCACTACTGCACTGTCCTCAGCAAAGGAGACAAAAGTATGTCAGTTCAAAAAAACCACATTCACACAACCACTTCTCTTTGAAATACGAAGCTGCATTGCTAAAATAATTCATTCTGCTTTTGTTGTGGGGCTCTTTGGTAAGAGAAATTACAGTGTCTCAGAAATGTCTATTCTTCCTTCATGTTCACATCCCCTTTCTCTTGCTGCACAGGGAGGAAGAAATATAAATGTATTTGCTGATTGACATTACCATAATAATCCATTATCAGGGAAAAAACAATTTCAAAACAAGAGTCACTAACTACACAATTCCCTTATGAAATACAACAGTGATTCTGACTTAAGGATTTTTTTTTTTTAATGAACATGGGTATTTTTCCCATTTGCTCACTAATGTACTCATTCTAATGTACTCACTGTAACTTTTTTTTTTTTTTAACTTTTTCCATTTGTTACTAATGGAATATAATTATTTCCAATCTCAAGATCTTGAGCAGAAAACTCCACTTTTTTGAGGCTCAGAAAAAACCTAAAACCACACACCATTACCCTATTGGTCACTGCAGAGATACACGAGTGGAAGGTGGAGGGTCAGCGCTTAGGAGGGCTAAGCTTTCAAAGACTGAGAAGTGGACTAACAGAATAACTTCCACAATATATACTGTCTCAGTAGGATCCCAGTTTACTTGTACTTTCATTCCAGCCTTGGTATAGCCACACAGTTTCAATTTAATCATTCAGCCTGCATAGGTATACTCCAGGTATGTGTATATACACACATTTTAGGTATACCTAATCCAAGTACTTTTTTGCTATAAGCTACCGAAATATTATGAAATCCAAGGAAACTTGCTAAATGTTAACTATTAACATCAAAACCCCCAGATTAGCTTTACAGTATGATTTACAGTAGCTACTGCTAAGAAATGAGGTTTTAAGATTCACTAACACATTACAGAGGAGAAAAAGATACCAAATTGAAACACATTTCCTCTCAGAAAAAGACAGAAAAATTGAAGATGGGAAGCCATGCCTTTAGTTGTACATTCATATGAATTACATAAAGATTAAAAAGAAACGCAGTGTTCAGCACTGACAGAGCTATACATCTCTTTCAGGTAGGTAAGACCACATTGCATAATGTGACTGGTAATAAAGATGTACTTGTAACATGAAAATAGGCGTTACGTAAAATAAAGAGGAGTCTTTCCCCTCATTTATCCTAAAATGTAAGGGATGCTTGATCATCATAACTTGTGAACTTTATTCTTTTTCAGCTTCTACTTTGCAGATATTACCTAATTTTAGTATTTGATTAGGAAAAAAAAAAAGACTAATCGACTTCACAGTGCATTGAATATATATGTAATTTTAATATAATTGCTAGCATGGATGATTTTGCGTTTGATTTCTGCATCCTCAGGTTTTGCAAGCTTAATGTAAAGAGAGCTGTCAATACATATATGAAAACATAAAATAAGCAAAAATTGCATTCACCACCCAGAATGTATCTTTGTATCCAAAGATGGCCCACAAGTTCATTAAAGGCCCACTGATGAAAAAGACACTGACTTGATTTGGATGCAGTGAATTCAGCAATAGGTAAAATGTCTCAGCACCTACACAGCTAAATCAGTTTTATATATTTTGCAAAAGAAAGCTTACCTGCCCATTTTTCCCCAGCTCCATTTCAACTATTGCAACAGGCGTGTTTATCTGATCAATGTGTCTTGACTGTGACTTCAGATCCACTCGCCAGTTCATGTTTTTCAAGACATTATCCCAACGGCTTTGATTGATCAGGCTCTCGTGGATCTTTATTCGGTGGTTCTTCCAAAATTTTGCAATGACTGCAGCTTGATCGGATGTGATGCCACCTTGTTTTTTGGTCTGAGCAGTGAGAAAAGCCTCCAGCTGATTCAAATCCATGTCAGCTGAAGCAATTGACTGAAGGGAAAAGAAGAGGAGAAAAAGGGAAAAGCTTGCTTAAAAATACTCTTTAACAGTCTAAGCTGAACAGTCTACCAAAAGGCCACGTCTTTGGGGTTTTACAAATACCGGATTTTAAAGGGATACTGCAAACAAAGCTGGGTTATGGAAATAACCTGACAACTTTCATTAAAACTCAATTTGCAAGTGCCTGCCACTTATCCCGGATTCCTGCCCCCAGACAGCTGGAGGGTAATGCATCGGTAACAGCGATGAGGAAGCTGGGAGCACCTTGCGGAATGCAGTACTGGTACAGGATAACAAGGAGGCTTCTCACTCCCTGCCTGGCCCCAGTATGCCCTATGCATACCCAACTGGTTGCTGCTGGGGACAGTCTGCTGGGAGCTGGGTCAGGGGTCTAGTATGATACCGCTGTTCTGATGGTCAGAAATCTGGGGCATACATGGCATGCCCCTGGCCAAGGCTGAAACAAGTGAGGAGACATCCCAGCTCGCTGCAACATCCACAGCTTCGTCTGCCATCTCCACACCACAGACAAGGAAGCAAAACTGCTAAATGCTGCACCAGTCAAGCAGGGTCTGCAGCACTGGCCACAGTGGTGTGCTGGCTGCAGCAGCAAGAGCGCAAGTCTTCCAAGGGAGAGTCTATGTGCACGAAGCAATCCTTAAAAATGCAACTCCAGCTTCTTCTGAAGTGTCAGTGGACTCTGTTAGGCTAAATACTGTATTTGTGTTTTGCAAGGGAGCGTAAGGGGTCATTTATTCCTCCTCCCTGCGCAGCAACAGAAATTATTCTTCCCAAACCCCCTTTTTAATAGATATCCAGTTTTTCCACCTATTTTTCCAAAGCTGGTAATCCTACAGCCTCAAATTTGCATTGCCTAACTGGCAATGGTTGCTAAATACAGCTGTGAAGGGAGGGGAGGACAGGAGGTGGAGAGAGGAAACTGTGGCTGTTTCCCCATCGTAGTTTCAAGCAGATGCTTTTGCTTCATTCCTACCCAAAACGGATGCAGCTTACCCTAAATGAACATGCCACCTCCAAGCATGCACCAATGTGGAGCACAGCAAGGTGAAGCGTGGCCAACGCTGCAATCCTTGGGATTTGCCTTGATTTAATTTTCTTTGACACAGTATTCCTACTGCTGTATTCCATGCATTCAGGGAAATGACAACCTCACCGTCAAAGCCTACCATTAGCCAAGGGGGTGACACCATGTGGCTTTTGGCCAGACACACACTGTGTTCTTCACACTGCCTGTCTGCAAAGCAGGGCGTCACTTATCTAAAAACCAGCGGTTAGCACTCTGTGAGCTTGCAGAGGACACAAGACCTGCTGCTTCTCCCCATTTCATCAGCGATGAACCAAAAGCTGTCAGTGGGGTGAACTACCAGCAGGCTTTGCCACCTTCTTCTAGACCAGACAAATGTCAAAGTATGTGATCTTAGTCACACCAGGAGTGACCTGAAATAAAATGGTGGGTAAAAAAAAAACAAACAAAAACCACAAGAACTAGCCCAAAACAAAGAGTTCATGTATCAGGCAAGCAACACATAACAGCAACAGGTTTGATGCTTTGAAGGGAGTAAAGTCAACACTGCAACTTACTCAACCTTCAGCAGATACACCACCACATCCTCCTTACCCTGAGTTTTTTTTCCAAGAGAAAAGCAAACCAGAAACACCCGCCCAAAAAAACCCCAACAAAAAACTTGCAATCTACAATGGTTACGCTGCCTTTTATCATCCAGTGTATAAGATCTTTCTCCCGAAGCTTTTATAGGTTTTTGTTTGGTTGGTTTTTTTAAGAGGGACACACTGCCTTCCCTCACTCTCGCAATAGATTAGCAGCCATCTGTTACATGAGTGAGAAAAGAAATGGCAATCCACACTGGAAGTAACTGGGTAGCAGGGTTCCAGCTTAATAGGAGTATCTGCCAATTTATTATAAAATTTGAGATGCCTAGTACACTGCTCTGTCTTTTCTATAGGGCATTCACTGTATCTGTATATATTGTTTGCTTTTATCATGAAGATATTTAACTTAAGAGGTAATTATCCTGTAATATCTAATTAGGCGGTAACTGAAAAAAGCACGTATTTTCATTTTCAAAAGAAAAGCTATTTAGACTTACAGTCCTTTCCTACATTCACATCTTACATGAACAGGACTGTCTATTAACAACAGTGTGCAATATTTTCTGTTCTAACATTTTTCACATCACTACACCTGCGTGTGGATCTGTTTGCATGTTGTGTGACACCAACTACTGCTTACGTACGCCTTTTGTGTAGGCTTACATGAGTATGTGAAGGGGGGGAGGAATACAGGTGAATCAACAACCCCAGACCCCAGCACCTTATGTAAGCCCTGTCAAGACCAAGATCAAGTTGAGATGCAGACTTTCTTCTCAGTTCAGCTGTGCAGAAAATCGCCTTCTGTTTTATTCCTGTGCAGGAACCAAGAACATAAACTGCATCCTGTGCACTGAATGAAGCAAAGATGTCATGGAGAAACATCTAATCTGCATTAAATGTGAACCTAATGCAGATTCACTGGATCAAACAACGAGGTAACCCTTTTCTCGGCTTGATTTTACAACCTTCAAATATTTCACATTTGTAATTCTTAGAGGTTTCTTTTAACCTCACCCCCTTCACAACAACAACTTTTGCAAGAGGCAGCAATATTTCTGGGAGGGCCTTGCTAAGCTGATAAAAAGACACAAAGTTCCTTATTGTGCTTGACACAATATAAATCTGACTTCTAAGCATATCCAAAAGAGGAAGCTTATGACCAAGCTTGCTGTTTTAAGCTTAAGGATGACAAAACAATATTACTAGGGCTTGTACAGGACAGCTAAATTGGCTCTGATTATGACTGACTCTATATGTTCATGTACTATAACCACCCTGATACAGTTTGCTACCAAAATACTATCACATAAAACAGAGGAAGGAAACCATGTATCATAATTAGCAATCGTTTCTCTCTACTGTATTTTGGTGGAATATTTATCAGATAATGCATGCTTTAAATAACGTACCAATACAGTCCACTAGAATCTCTCTCAGCTTGGAAACAGTACTAGTTAAAAACTCCTTTTTAAAAAAAATTAATATACATTTTAATTGGAAGCAAGTACAAGCAATCAATAAGTTATACCTCAGTATAGTTGCATTAAGATATTAATGAAGACTTTTTTTTTTAAATTCCTCAACAAAACCCACCAGCTATCAAGGTTTTCAAGTCACAGAAGAACAGCAACTCGTTTTAATATCCTTTTTCATCTTAACTTGGAAACATTTCATTGTGGACTGGAAACCTGATATAAGTTACAAAGAATGAGAGAACAATTAAGGTCTTTGCTGATCTTCCATCTCCTTTATTGTACAAACACTTATACAACTCATTTTTTATACAAGCATAGTTCTACGCCATTGTATGAATGACCACAGTCAAATTTTGGACTTTTTTTAAGCTTGATGAAATGTTTCAATTTAACTGGGCAAAAAATTGTATTTCCAGTCATATTCTGCACAGCATTACAAACAGTTCCTTCCATTACTTTTAACAACGCTCATTTATTACACAGAATATCAAATTACAGTGAATACACCTTATTGATATTTCTAAGGATTAATTTAAATTTAAAACATGAGGGGTTCTTCTGTGTTTACAACTAAAGACAGATAAAATATATCTGATTATAGGTCTCCCTCTCATGCTTTTAAACCCTAGGAGCTTTGGGTGAGCATTTACCACCACCAGGACAAAGACCAGCTGTTGTCCAGCTCCCACAGCAGTGATGAAGATGGATTCACTGCCAGAATAAACAACACACACACATTTTAGCATCATTACTGGAAACTTCACAGGACTTAAAAGTGTTGAAACCTATTTTACCCACCAGCTCCTACAGCTGAATTACTGTCAGCATTGGTCCAAGAGGGATACATCTTATTAATGCCGATTACTTAGTCCAGACAGACCTTAAAGTGCAGGATCTACTGCAGTAACTTGAGTCACTGTACTGTCAGTGGCACACGTCATTACATTATATAGACTTTATATTCTGAGCTAAATGTGTGTACGTGGAGATCGATCCAGCCTTAGTTGTTTCCCATCTCATCTCTTCAGCAGTCATCAATAACCATACTTTTGCAATATATTATCACAACCCCCTTTTTATTTACAGTGTCCCATCTCCATGCAGTTCTACAGTGCATCAAGAAGTGCTGTGTTAAAAGTGTGACGACAAGGAAAAAAAGTTATGTAGGACCTAATTCCAGTTTTTATTGGTAAACGCAAATGATTTACTATTTCAACGTAAAAATCTCCAGCTAACAAAAAGCAGAAAAGTTTTCTAAGTATGTATAAAATCATAGCTACGGTATGCCAGTGAGTAATTTAATTTACATTACTAGGACTATTCACTCAAGTGACTAAGTAAAAAAAGCCTATTTTCAAAACTAGAGTCTGTAAGAGAACACCATTTGATATTAAAAATTTCCTCACATTATGTATTTTGAGATATGTTAAAACATGCTTTTTTTTTTTTCCCCCTAGGAAGCACACATGTCATATGAGCAGGCAAAACCCACCCTCAGCAACTGGCTACACCTTTCTTTCCAGAGGCTGGGCAGATGCTTTTAAACAACAAGAAACAGTTTGGGTCATACTGACTTCTCCTACATTCACCTTCAACACATACCCACTATGTCTTCAAATATAATTCAGCCAATAAAAATATGACTTCAAATACTATTTCCTTAATGGAACAATATTTGATAATCTGGAGAGTTTTGTATTGGCTTAATTAGATCCATTAGACATGTGCTTTGGTACACAGAACAGGAAAACAGACTTAAATTCATTATCTCTTCTGAGAAATAAAGGCTGACAAGCATGCAATACTAGTTGAGAAACAACAATTGGTAAAACCCATGAGGAAAAAAGAACACACTTCATTTCCGGAAATAAAACATTACTTGTC